TATGGGAATAGAAAACCACATATCTCTCAGGCAGGATAGCCTTCTTTACCTAGGGAACTAACAAAGGGAATGAAATCCAAAGAGTGGTGCCATTGCCAATCATTGCAAGAACTCAAAGATGAACCAAATAGCAACCCCCACATGCGACAGTGGATGGATATCCTCTGGGCCACTCTCTCCCACATATGAACATATAACTTGATTTGGATCACCATGACCTTGGTTTGGTTAAGCTCTACGGGCAGGGTCACCAAGTAGTTGTCACCTGGACAGCCCTACATAGCATGACTCAAGGGCACTCAGTGTCAGGAGAAGCACATGAATTAGTATGAGCTGTCTGAGTGGTTGCGCGGGTAAAAGGGTGATTCATCTGGGGGAGCTGTCTTTGATACACCAGGCACGGTAGAATAATTCTGGACCAAGCAGGCCAACAGGAGATTTTCTGATCCCACAGCACATGGATGAGGATGATAAATTCATCTGATAAATCCAGCAGTGGTACAGGTTGGCAGTCAGAGCTGCTGCTTATCTCTGATGGACCAGCCTCTCATTTTGCCAACTGAGAGGCTGAGATTCAGAGACAAAAAGAGCATTCATTTTTCCCTCCTCTGAGCACCTCCAGGGTCTAAGGTATCCTTTCCCCAATGAAGTGGGGAGTAGTGCCAGGGAAGCAGTGAGTCCGGAATGCTAAGGGGTACCTCCAGGTGGAGATTGTTTCCCTTTCCAGAAGCCTGGAGTTGAAAAGGGCCCCCTGGGTGGTCTGATGCAACAACCTGCTACACTGACCCAAGCGTCACCTGCAGCTTAGGTCCCCAGCCGTATATGGCAGACTTTCTAATCAACTTGTACATAGGACTCAACAGGAGGCATGCATAGGTAAGGCATGTATTATCTCTAAGATCTAAATAGTCCAATTAAGTGCCAGGCTTCCTTTCTCTTAGGAGAGCCATAGAGCAAAGAATATTTTATTTACAGTCTAGGATCAACTTTTGAGTCTTAGTCCACATTGTTTTGGAGATTTTGACTTGGGTGGCTGGTCCTGTATCTTATCAGAATTGAGAGCCTTTCTGGGCCTTCATGTGATTTAGCATTGGCTAATTTTATTGAGACCTTTCAATAGAATATCATCTATATAGTAAGCCCAATTTCTCTGCAAAAAAAAAAAAAGAGAGAGAGAGAGAGAAAGAGAGAGAGGCTCGTCCTGTGTTTTGACTCACCTACTGGCAATAAACAACAGGGAAATTCAAGTAGTGCTGCAACAGCCCAGTAAACATGTTTTGGAGGGTCAGCCAGGGAAGGGGTCTTAATCTTTGGGCGCAAAAGGGATTGAGAAAAATACACGGCCAAAGTCCAAAATGGCACACCAGGTGCAATCACAGAGAATTGATTCATTTACAGTCACAATGTCTGTGACAGCCAGGACTATAATACCAACAAAATTCAGTTGGCAATGATGTACCACAAGCCTCCAGATTCCCATTAGCTTTTTTTCACTGGCCATACAAGGCTGTTACATTGAGATACTACATTTTTCATTAGTCACATTGTATTTAAGCCTTTGATCAAGGCTATGGTTTCCTTTTCTCCTTCTGGAATTCTGAATTTTTTTTTTTTTAACTTAGAAGAGAACCAAAGCCAAGTTGTGTCCAGTTGTGCGTGCATCCTTCTCTCCCTCTCTACAAAGGGCTCTTCCAACCAAAACAATCTCCCCTGGACATCATGAACATTTACAGAACAAGGATGTAAATTATCAATAGCAATTACACATTCAGCCCTGGGAGCCACAAAAGTAGTAGATAACAGGGCTCTAAACAGTCCTGCCCAGAGGATAGAGTTACTTCCTTTCCAATTTTTTTTTTTTTAATCAAATCTGGGTAGTTAAATATGTGGTCCTTACAAGAGAATGACCTCAAGAGAACTTAGTGCAATCCCTCAGGAGGACCTAGTACTTAGTCATTTGAGCATGGATATCAAAAAGCGACATAAGGCGGTGCAGTGGCTCGTGCTTGTAATCCCAGCACTTTGGTAGGCTGAGATGGGTAGACCGCTTGAGCTCAGGAGTTCGAGACCAGCCTGGGCAACATGGTGAAACTCCGTCTCTACCAAAAATACAAAAATTAGCCTAGTGTGGTGTTGCATGTCTGTGGTCCCAGCTATGTGGGAGACTGAAGTGGGAGAATTGCTTGAGCCTGGGAATGGAGGTTGCGGTGAGCTGAGATTGTACCACTGCAATCCAGCCTGGGTGACAGAGTGAGGCAAGAAAAGTAGTGGAGTCCTCTACCATGGAGGAAGAAACGTCATCTTAAAAATGCATTGGTCATGCTCTGGGTGAGGGTTCATCATCAAAGCTATCATTCTGTCCAGGACAGAACAAGTCTAGGGCAGCTTCAACCCTCAGGCTTTAAATAGCTTCCTCCATGGGATTTCGTGAGATTTTATTCACTTAAGAAAACCTTCTTCGCTTGGACACAGTGCCTCATGCCTGTAATCCCACCACTTTTGGAGGCCAAGGCGTGTGGATCACTTGAGGTCAAGTGCTCAAGACCAGCCTGGTCAACATGGGAAACCCCGTCTCTACTAAAAACACAAAAATTAGCTGGGCATGGTGGCACATGCTTATAATTCCAGCTACTTGGGAGGCTGAGGCATGAGAATTGCTTGAATCTGAGAGGTGGAGGTTGCAGTCAGGCAAGATCATGCCACTGCACTCTAGCCTGGGTGACAGAATGAGACTCTGCCTCAAAAAAAGAAAAAAAAGAAAAGGAAGGGAAGGGAAGGGAAGGGAAGGGAAGGGAAGGGAAGGGAAGGG